ACCACACATGAAAAAATTCACCACAATATGTCTAACATTAATGTAGATCAACTATAAAAACAACGCACTCATAAAAGTTGTCAAAACTTTAAAAAAAAAACCCCACTAAATGTCTGACACATAATTAAAAATTCTTCTAGGCATATTTATGATGTTAAATGCTTGCGGCATCCTCGGTTGGAACTCTACGTTGCTTAGTTTGGTTGATATCAAAATGTTCACTGAAAATAAGATAAAAACTATTAAAATGTATTGATTTAGTTATTTTAATATCACTACAAGCATTATAATTTTCTAGAAAAAACTTACCTGAATCCAAATGAACCAATTTCACCCGAGAAACAAATATTATATACTTTCTCCTTATCGCATAGACAGTTATCACAATCTGATGGCGTGTTCGGTCGGTTATATATAGTTTCATCTTTATTATACTCCCCTTATTTAAAATCAAATATTTCCAAAGTCATCTAATTTTGTTTTAGTGTAATAATAATAATAATAATAATAATAATAATAATAATAATAATAATAATAATAATAATAATAATAAACACTTTCGGTCCATCTTGGAGATATAAGGTGAAAGAAGTTAACGTCAGTACACCAAAGTAACGGGAATAGTTTCGCTTCCCTTTGATGATTTTTCCAACAATATCTAAAAATAACGATAATTAAAAGGATAATTAACTTGTTATAATTTTAAAAACTTTAGAATGCTAAAAATATATATAAGTTATTAAATTTACCAATCATCATTTTTCTCTTTGTCCGATCCTCTACTAAACTTTTTATTGAGGGAACCAATGGGAAAACCGGAAACCATGATATGATAGCATCGGCCAAACGATTAAACCGTGTGTTATTGCTTATCTTAATCATCAAATCGCCACGTAATAAATTGTATTCTTGATACCTCGGATACTCAGCATAGGTTGGTTCGACTTGGAAATGGTTTAAAGAAAACACACCACCCAATAGATTCCCTCCATAAATAAAGCGCATCATTTATTGTGGAACAACTGCTAACAATTTCTCTCTCTAATAGAAAAGGTAATATTTTTATAAATAAAATACTTATGATAAATTATGAAAATGAAAATAAGATATAAATAGTTTTTTAAACATACATGTTGATCAATAAGAATCATGAAGAGTTTGTTTACTCTTGAGTCCCTCCAAATGAAATCAATACGAACGGGTGTCAAAACATACCACAAATGGTAGTTTAGTAGCATTGAAAATGCATCCACGTAAATTTGACCATTCATGATTCTACAAAATGAAAGTCACACGTGAATAATGTAGAATTGATTTACATCATTATTTATATTAAAAACTATGTCGATTTGAGATGCCCAAAGTATAATAACATATGTATCGTAAATTTGAAATATCCAAGCAATAAGAGTTTTTATTAGGTGATTTATTTATTAAATAGTATAGAAAACCTAAAACATATATTAATAACAAATATTAATATGATTTATTTGATCTGAATTGTAAGATTTAAAAAGTTTAATAACAAATTAAAATAAAGCCCAATTCATAGTACACTTAATTTTAATAAGACCTAATTTGTTCAGAGTCGAGACCGATATCATGTTTTTTGCTCTATCGCTCTAAAATCTAAATAAATATATAGCACACAAGTCAAATAAGTTTTTTAGCCATCTAAAGCAAGCTACACTAAGGTAAAATTACATGTATATACAAGTTATAATAAGGAAATAACATATAATAATTTAAAGAATACATTGTGAGGACATTGACGAATCAAACATATAAATAAAAACTTTTTGCCTGCGACTGTTCATCTTCTTAAAAGCTGTTAAATTTTAAGAAAAAGACAACTCCTTTTATGTCATTAAAAAGGGAAGATTTCTATTTTAAGATATTTTTATAAATGGAACAAAACAATTCATTGACTTGTTATTATCTTTGTAGGAAACTAATGCAAATCTTAATGAAATTGTAGCTCTTGCAAAAGAACTTCAGGTAATTTCTCATGGTTAAACAAAAAAGAATGGGTAAAAATACAAATTTCTGCAAATCAAGTAATTAATTTCTTTTATCAAAACATTACTCCATAAAAAAAATGTTTTTGATAATACTCTCTTAGGGGACAAAAATTCGTCCTTTATGGGGTACAGCTCAGTTGTTCATGAATCCCCGCTACATGCATGGTGGTGCCACCAGGTTCATATTACACCTTTTTCAATCTTCATTTTTTTTCAATATATTTAATTAATAATAATAATATTTAAATTTAATACTTACTAATAATAATAATACATAACCACAGCCCTGAAATTGGAGTCTATGCATATGCTGCAGCTCAAGTCAAGAAAGCAATAGATGTTTTTACTTACTACTTACTACTTACCACTTAGTTTATTGAACAGAAAAAAAAGACGATTTTGCCCTTGATATGAACTTTTACTATTTACACAGGTTACAAATTATCTAGGGGGTGAAAATTATGTGTTTTGGGGTGGTTGTGAGGGTTATCAGACTCTTCTCAACACTGATATGGAGAGAGAGCTTGATCATATGGTAAATTTTTTATAAAAAATAATTTTTTAATAGTAGTTAAAAAATAGATATAATGTGCAAATTATATTTTTTGTAGGCACGGTTTTTTGAAGCTGCAGTAGCTTATAAAAAGAAGATTGGATTCAATTGTAATTGTTACTTAAATAAATACAAGAGATTTGGTATTATAAAAAATAAAAGAATAAAAATTATTTATAACTGTTTATATGTATGTTAATTTTTTTGCTTAAGGAACACTTCTTATTGAGCCTAAGCCTCAAGAGCCCACAAATTAACTTCTGCGGATTTACTGGCATTTGTTATTAATATGTATTTAGACCACATTTATTGATGAATTTTGATAACCGGATCATAAAAATGACATGTTAACATGAAACAGAAGAAAATAATTGATTAACAACAATATATTGAACTGATAATCAAACAACATAGGGACAAATGTGATACAAAGGAAAACTCAATGTTTCTTTGAAGCTTCCTGGTAAATTACATTTAACTGTGAATGATAGATATGTATCAAAGTACTTTATACCATTCATTAACAACAATATATTGAACTCATAATCAAACAAACAAGCATGATGCAAACAACAAAACTAAACCTCATCCTGAATGCGATTTTTAAAAAACACTCTTCACATGGTTACACCAAATTCGATCTAGTAAAGTAGAAGAAGTAAAGAAGACAAAAAACAAAAAAAGATTCATCAAACAGATAGAAGAAATAAAGAAAACCTGAATTCGTGTAACGAAATGTATTCCAATGCAATGAAGTACTCTTCTAATCTTGATTCCTTGTTGCTGAATTGTGTTGTGAAAGTAAAAAATAAGAGCATAATATATTAGATTTATAGACAGAATAATGTATCATATGATATATTTTCGGATACTAATAATTGTCAAAAGTCATACCAAAAAAATTTTAAATCATACCTTAAATACTTAATGTCAAAATTCATACCAAAAATATTTTAAATCATACCATAAATACTAACTGTCAAAAGTCATACCAAAAATACTTTAAATCATACCATAAATACTAACTGTCAAAAATTATATCAAAATTAATAATATTTCCTTTAAAATAATATCATACTAAAAATAAAATATATATTAGAAGCTGAAATTACTGTAAATGTTAGTAAAATTTACAAATAAAAAGTAAAGTAAGAAAATATATTGAAGAAGAATAGATGTGTGCAAATTGATATGGGTTGATTAGGGAATCTTTAACTTAAACTTCAGTAGAAGAGAACAGCTTCAAGTACCTTTTACGTGGTCTTTGCAAGAAGGGCAAAATAATCATTTTACTTGGATTTGACACATCAAACTAAGGATTATAAATCATAAATGAGCAACAAACAATTTTTTTGCACAAAACACTAAAAATGTGAATGTAAGAAACTGGAATTGTTTGTTCACAAAATATCTTTATTTTTATCACTTTTAATGGTATTTTATGAACTAATTAATCATTCTAGTTTCTTACCTCTTCATGGAACTTTAAAAAAAAAAAAAAAAAAAAAGATAATTTTGTAATTAAAAAAAACAAATAGTTTGTTACTCATTTATGTGTATGCATCCAATATTCCATACCATTAAAGAACTTGTGTTGGAAAATGGGATTCAAAGCGGATTCAATATCAAATAAGACGATTTTGTCCCTACAACTCTCGAATGTTGTCAAGAATTCAAGAACTGGAGCTGCTTTTGTTTGCAAAACAAACGAACAACTCTTCAAGATTTCAACCAATCGCGAAAGGAACGTGGAATCTGAAAGATCCTCCACCTGGATAGTTTGTCAGCTGTCATATTGAATACAAAAAAACAATTATATAAAAATAAAAATAAAACCCTAACATGCAAAACAAAAACATAACAAACCTGGTTGACAATCTTGCTTCATTTGATCCTTTCTTAGATCCATTAACAGGTGCATCATAAAATTGTTTGTAGAAATAGCAACATACTTTTATTTATGAGTGAAAAAAGTACATTTTAGATTTTTTTTTTATTAAGTAACAAAATGCTAACCTTTAATTTCATTAGTTTGCTAGAATCTAAAATCCGAGCAAGAATATTCAAGATCTGCATTAATCTCAAAACCACATCATGTGTAATAGAATCGAAAATATACAAATAAAATACAATAGTTTTTATACCATGTAAGTATTTCATGTCCACCTTTTTTGGGTATAACAAAAAGTTGCATAATTTTGTCCCATTGACAACTGTCTTAATCTCAGTCCAATGTACGTCAAATGCAGTACAAGACCTTCAACAAATGGGACATTGGTTCATTTAAACGACCATTTTAGGAAATAGTTTAATTATAAAATTAAGAATGGTCATTTAAAAAACTAAAAACCGGACCAAAATTGCAATCTAATTCGTTTCGGGACGAAAACCTAAAAATGTGCTAAACTCAGGGACCAAAATTGTAATTACCTTCCGGCATCTGGATCAAACCCTATGACATAATAGGTCAAGATTACCCATGTGGCAACTTCAAGAATTGTTACTGGGATCTTGAGGAACCATGTGGGTAGTGAATATACCCATGCAGGATAGAAGAGAAGGTCTCTTTGCTTGTAGAACACAGGAAGTTTTATAATGCTTAAACCAAGCTCAGAGAATCCATTAAATGTAATCGTGAGTATTGTGAAAAACATAGAACCCATGAATACTATTCCATCTACTATTGTTTTCTTTGGCATCTCAGTTCGTAGGAATAGTGTCATTGTTGTTGTAGCAAAAAAAGTAAGCTGAAAAAGTAACAGATAAAAGACATGAAAAAGTAATATCCCCATCATAAAATATACCCTTAGATATGCAAGCTTATCATGCTTGTTTTTTTTTTTTTTAATTACTTACCTGTGTCATTTTGAATATATACACAAAGGAGTTTCTTTTCATAAGCAAGTATTCTCTAGATATGCAAGCTTTTAGCAATTCTTTTTTGCTAACACCATATTTTTTTGTAGTTAAAGCTGCAGGGTGGCTTTTTGTTTTGTCAAATGCAGCACCAAGTTCATCACCTAGTTTTCTTCCCACATGAAACAACCGAAATGCTTCTGAGAATTCTTGCACTGTAACAAAACTGTAAGCTTCATTTTTTCTTATCCAGTATTGCTCTTGATCTTTCTTTGATGTTACCTGTAGCATGAAACCAGCATTAGCCAAAAGTTCAATAACTCCAAATGAAATTACATGTAACAAACGCAACCTAAGAGCTAAACATTACTTCTTGTAAAAAATCAGCAACTACTTTTCTCTCAGGACATTTGAAACCCATGTACTCAAAGAATTCAAGCACATTTTCTCTAGGACCTTGATACACAACTTGTCCATCTGCTAAAAGTATGACATCATCAAATAGGTCATAGGTCTCAGGTGCAGGTTGAAGGAGTGAGATGACAGAAGTTCCTTCAAGTATGTGAATTGATTGCTTAATTGAATTCACTATTTGGAAAGTGGTTGAACTGTCTAAACCCGTTGATATCTCGTCCATTAGCAACACTCTTGATGGGCCCACCATCATTTCGCCTGTTGTGACTCGCTTTTTTTGTCCCCCTGAAATACCCCTAAACATTTCATCTCCTACTACAGTGTCTGCACACACTTCAAGACCTAAAATCTGCATATCTGAACATAAATATCGGAACATTAGTTGTGTTTTTCTCACATATTCACTTATATTTGATACATTTTTAAACAGAACACATGTCAATGGGACAAAAGTTGCAATTTTTATTTGTCTTATTCTTGAGCTATTACCTTGATAACATACTCGGTGACAACACTTGCCTCTTGACCTTCTAGTGATGATGCCTAAAGAAAAAGAAATATTAAAGATTAGATCAAGAAACAGAGTATATATATACTTCTTATGATGATACTACATGTATAACAAAGTATATATATACTTCAGTGACTGAATATTGTTGTTGAATTAAATTAGGAGCCATAGACTTTTTTACCTCATCAGGAGACCAAAAGGTTTGCAATTCCTTCTGAATTAAATCAGCCATAGACTTAACATAACCTTGTCGCTGATACCAAGACTGAATAATAGCAACAGGAAGCTTTGAAAAAAATCTTGTCCTCCCTGAATATCTTTACTATATTATAGATTTGGAAGAACTTTTTGGAAGAAACGATGATCATTGTGTCTAGAGGGTACCTGTGGTGGCTGAGGGAGGTTACAAAGGTTGTGGTATGTGGCGGATCTGTTCATCAGCAGCAGCTTCTCGAGATGATTGATGCCGATCTTTAGGTTTTTTCAAGATCGAAGATGCTGAGAGGTGATTCGTCGTCAGCAGCGAAGTCCTCCTCCCCTCTGTGTTCGGGATCTTTGATATCTGAGACTTGAGAGCGTGTTAGGGTGAAAATCGAAGGCGGGAAAGGGGCATATTTGGTGTTGTCGATGTGAATAGGATGATCCTTGTGTCTAGAGGGTACATGTGGTGGCTGAGGGGGGTTACGAAGGTGGTGGTAGGCGGCGGAATCATCGTCAGCAGTGGTTTCTCGAGATGATTGACGTAGATCTTTAGGGTTTTTCAAGATCGAAGATGCAGAGAGGTTGGAAAGCAGCATGTCGATGTGAATAGGATGAACAATGAACACATAAGCGAAGTCCTCCTCCCCTCTGTGTTCGGATGAACAATGACCATCTCCAGATCTGTTTATGGTGTGCGATGTCTGGTGGCAATGGAGGGGACAACGTCGGCACGGTGGCGATAGCGACGACTATAGGAGGGTGGTGGTAATGGAAGCGTATCGGAGATTGAAGAAAGTGAGGAGGCAGACGGATTTGGATGAAATGATGTTGATAGTGTCAAAAGGGTATTAGGGTTTGGTATAATGATATTGCGTGTATACGTATACATTGTAAGCTTAATAGATTGTACTTTGTGCTATAAAATGTATACCTCTTAATTTTCAAGACATGGGCAATATGTTTAATAATATAGTTAAGATATATATATATATATATATATATATATATATATATATATATATATTACTAGAAAACATGGTGTTTTCCTACGGAAAATAGCTACAGATAATTTTCGTAGCTAATTAGCTACGGAATCGCTACGGATCAGCTACAGAATGGGATGCCCTAGTTTATTAAAGGAATAGCTACGGATGCGGGTCTGTAGCTAATTAGCTACAGAATAGCTACGGAATAGCTGCAGATGCCTATCTGTAGCTATTCCGTAACTAATTAGCTACGGAATGGCTGCGGAATACCTACGGATACTAATTACCTACGAATTAGCTACGGAGTATGCTTTCCGTTAGAATTCCGTAGCTAATTCGTAGCTAAGTAGCTACGGATTTTTTGTTATTTTCAATTTTTCGGGCACCAAACATTATTTTTTTCGCTTCGTATTTTTCACACCTCTAGTATACATGATTATCTTTATTTTCATCAACTTGTAGCTATTAATATCGTTCATAAAGTCGTGTGCTCCTTCGGGATCAAGTACTCGTTTCACAGTTTAACATTGTAATGCATATACTTTTCACCAACTTGTTATGGATTATGTCGTATATTTATATACATGAATGAGTTGTGGTATATATGTACATCTATA